GGAAATGTGTGTTTTTTTTGGATAGGTCTAATTGTTACCTGTAATAATCGGGATAAGCAAATCTTTCCTTCAGATCAATATCCAGCCATGGGGGGAACAGCTTGCCATTTATGTAGGATGTTTTCCTGAAAATTAGTAACACATAAGAAAATCAATGTTGCCTATTGACAATCTGACAAACATATAACTCCAACTTTTAGAAACATTGCAGCTACAACTCCTCCTTAGCTGGATGGGATGTTAGTCCAATATCGCAAATAACCTAGCCACATTTTGACACATGATCGGAGGCACTGTGAGAGTAACCTTTCTTGCACAAGAATACAACATAACAACCCCTGTCAGGTGGATATGTATTTTTGAATGTTTACATTGTAAATTAAAAAATAACTGAAAAAATTAATAACTTTATTGAAAATATTATATCAAATGGATGACAGGTGCATGTATTAATGCATTATTCAGTTGAACTGTCAAGTTTGATTGACATAGGTGCTCTTGGGGGAAAGCAATCTGACAGATATGTTTAAATAATAATAATGAAAAAAACAAAATCATGGTGCACTGTATCAAAACAAGGAAACTGTAAAAACAGGAAAACATTCCTATAGTCTTCAGCATTACACCATACATGTGTATACTTAGAAACTCAAATTTGCACCAGTGAAAGAAAAGAAAAATTCTTGTAAATAATGATAAGCTTTAATTCTCCAATTAAAGTACTTGCAATTAACAGCATTGGTTTTGGAGAAACTCATCTTGAAACTGAAACTGGGAAATGTTTGAAACATCTTTGGAAATCTTCTGAATATCTTTGCAAATGCCTGAAATGTCTTTAGAAATCTTTGGAGGATCCTTTGAAATCTTTCGTTTTGTTTGGATCATCTAGGAAACTCATGGTAAAATTAGAAAAGCTTACACTACTTAAGCAATAGAGCACTTTTTCCATGTTTACTGTACATAGCCTTATTTAAACACGAGGAGAGTTGGGAGAATTCAAGAAGTTATACAAACCCAAGGATATAGTCGAGGGTTTGCCTAACTTTCGAGAATTCTCCCAGCCCCCAAGTGTTACGATGAGGCCACGTAGTGCTCTTAACTATTGCTCTTATAAAGTAATTGTCAGAAATACGCGCAAATCTAAAACATCACAACCATGTTAACATACTCTTATCCAAACACACCTATCAACCAACGAGAGTGTGCGCGGTAATGTAGCTCAATTATTTTATAAAGTTCTGTATAGACATTGTAGGTTCTTACTTTAAGACATCCAGCTCCTTCGCAGTAAGATGAGGTCTTTTGTCCCCNTGTTTAAATAATAATAATAATAATGAAAAAAAAAACAAAATCATGGTGTACTGTATGAAAACAAGGAAACTGTAAAAACAGGAAAACATTCCTTTAGTCTTCAGAATTACACCATACATGTGTATACCTACAAACTCAGATTTGCACCAGTAAAAGAAAAGAAAAATCCTTGTAAATGATGATAAGCTTTAATTCTCCAATTAAAGTACTTGCAATTAACAGCATTGGTTTTGGAGAAACTCATCTTGAAACTGAAACTGGGAAATGTTTAAAACATCTTTGGAAATCTTCCGAATGTCTTTGCAAACGCTTGAAATGTCTTTAGAAATCTTAGGAAGATCCTTTGAAATCTTTTGTTTTGTTTGGATCATCTAGAAAACTCACGGTAAAATTAGAAAAGTTTACACTACTTAAGCAATAGAGCACTTTTTCCATGTTTACTGTACATAGCCTTATCTAAACACGAGGAGAGTTGGGAGAATTTGAGAAGTTATAAAAACCCAAGGATATAGTCGAAGGTTTGCGTAACTTTCGAGAATTCTCCCAGCCCCCAAGTGTTACGACGAGGCCACGTAAACATGGAAAAAGTGCTCTTGACTATTGCTCTTATAAAGTAATTGTCAGAAATACGTGTGAATCTAAAACATCACAACTGTGTTTACATACTCTCATCCAAACACACCTATCAACCAACGAGAGTGCGCATGGTAATGTAGCTTAGTTATTTTATAAAGTTCTGTATAGACATTGTAGGTTCTTACTTTAAGACATCCAGCTCCTTCGCAGTAAGATGAGGTCTTTTGTCCCCAGTACTACCCCCAGGGGTGGACTCTCCAGAGGACCTCAGAGAGAGGTCTTTTACACCTTTGGTTACTGATGCTGACCCTGATGTTGAGGTTCCAGGTTTGTTCAAAATTCCTTTTATTGCTTCAGCTCTGAGAAGAAATGATTGTAACAGTCATGCTATCATTTCTTCAAATGTTTCTCTACTTACAAATGTACACGCAGCACATTGATTCATAATTTGCATAATTTGTGTATAATATTATTAAGTGTTCCTTAAGAACTTTGACATTCGAAATGTAAAGCCACCCAATTCCCAAAGAGCAGCCAGGAAGAATGTGCAAGTAGATGGAAGGACCATTTAGGTTCATGACAAGAGAGAATGTAGCATTACCCCACATTACAATCTAAAATTGTACAAAAAAAAAACACTTCAGAAACATTAGAAAGATATAGAGTGTTTTACTGGAAAATACCACACTTGTAAAATTCATATGAAACTACATCCGGGACCTGAGTGGTGTATTTTTCCATATCCTCACTAGTGAAGATATTGATGATGCCAATTCCTGCTTTTTCACAGTTCCTTGTGCAAACAGTCAGTTTGTATGTAAAAAGATATGAAGAAGTGAATTTTATTTTCTCGTGTTAAAAACAATATTTTACCACTCAGAAATAAAATTGATATCTTTGCGCTGCCAGGTAACATCCTCTATGTAATTCCTCAATGGAAATCAAAACAATGACCTTCCACACATTAGTCAGATGCTCAAACCACTGAGCTAGTGGAGCCATGCATTTATGTAGCTTGCTAATCCATATTAAACCAGTACAGTCTGGCTGTTTTCTTTAACATCCACATATAACAGTTACATGTACCTTTCTATTGCCTGTTTAGCCAGATAATGAAGTTTTTTCTTNATGTAAAAAGATATGAAGAAGTGAATTTTATTTTCTCGTGTTAAAAACAATATTTTACCACTCAGAAATACAATTGATATCTTCGTGCTGCCAGGTAACATCCTCTATGTAAACAACTATGTCCACACATTAGTCAGATGCTCAAACCACTGAGCTAGTGGAGCCATGCATTTATGTAGCTTGGTAATCTGTATTAAACCGGTACAGTCTGGCTGTTTTCTTTAACATCCACATGTAACAGTTGCATGTACCTTTCTATTGCCTGTTTAGCTAGATGATGAAGTTTTTTCTTTAAGTCATCATCATCTGATAGGCCACTGCTCTATAACAGGAAAGAAATTATAAACTAAAGGACCAGAAGCTTGTTATTAACTGAACCTGTTTTTAGATCTTGCACGAGAAAGGAAAGAAACACCATTCTTCTCTGCAGAATCTTTTCATTCAATATATTTGTTTCTTTGGTCTCATTTGGTAATAAAATGAGGAAATCCAGGGTTTGAAGAAAATACCATCTGGTCTTCTGGGATAATTAGATTTTCCTGGCAGGCAAGAAAATTCATGTTTCTCATTTACCCACTGGGCAAGGCTCAGGCAAACTGCCTGCCAACTAAATTAAAAAAAAGGTAAACTATGACTTGCCCAGGGTACAAGCAAAGTTTGAGTAATAATAATAATGGTGCCCATTTAATTAAGCCCAGGACATAAATGTAAACAACTCACTGTTTTGATGCAGAGTGCTGCTGCATCAGTATACAGTGGCAGTGCATCATTAGGTCTGCCCCTTTCATCTTCATAAAGTGCTTGCTTCAGAAGAAATTCTGCTCTTTCTACGCCATTCTGCAACAGCAAAAAAGCA